TCAGTAGGTCTGGGACGCACTGGAGAAATTTCACTCATCGCAAGTTCCTGGCGATGCTACTGCTGCTGGTCCGGGAGCATGCCTTGAGAACGAACCACCAGGCTAGCGTACGGATCCTTGACCTGAAACCTGTGACCCTCCTAAAATTAAAGGCGAAATGCTGTACATATCCATATAGTAAAGGCCCCAGGATATAAGGTCTGCAGTTTTCATCCGAGTCTCAAGTGGGTCAGCAGGTCAGTCAGGAGACCGCTTAGCTGCAGCTGAAGGAAAATCTGACTACTAGTGACTTAAATCACAAGGACAGTGATGTTCATTGGGCAACAGAAGAGGCAGGACGTTTCAGGGTTCTTTCAGTGGCTCAGGCACTTCACTAAGAAAACCAGTCACTTGACCTCCCCAGGAAACCCCTTCTGAATTTCTGGTCAGAATCCTCACCTGCCCACCCCTAGACCAGTCCTGACCAAGGGGAATGGGATTTGCATAATTAATTTCTTTAGACTAATTGTGATTCAACCCTGGGGCTGAGAGGGAGGGAGTCTGCCTTCCCTGAGACCAAGGGGTCTCTGTCAGTTCTCTGAACCAAATATTAGTTCCCTAGCAGGGGTTAGAGGAGAAATGGCTGCTAGGTTGATAGGGATCTTTGTCTATCTCAGTAAGTAACCTAAAAAATGTTAGGAACATCTGGCCTGCATCTTTTTAGATCACCACATGCTTCCAACTTGCTGGACAAGGAGGGCCTGGACAAGCTCAGCTATGAAGATGTACTTGGCTTTGTCCTCTCATGCCTTATGGCAGGTCTGTGAAGCAGTTCTGCCCGTAATGGGGGCGAGGTGGGGTGGAATTTAGGAATCTGATTCAGGTTTCTGGAGTCAGCATCTCACCACCCTGAAAGTTAATCCCCCTCTGACTTTGGCCCCAATTTTAAAAAAGGGCTCTTGCCTGGTTCCTTCGGCCAAGTCCCTGCGCTTGGGATTCACATTATTCCTTTTCTCTCACTAGTCCTCTTAGAACTAGAACCTCAGTCCTGAATTTTGAGCCCAAATACTTAGATTCTGCTGCCAGACTTCCTATCTCCCTGCCTGGGTCCCTGCTTATCTCCTCCCATCTGTATGCTTCAGCTCCTCCGCTTCACTAAGTAGAGAGATCATGTCTAAAAATGTGCATTTGTGTCTTCCATGCAGAAGCGGTAAGTGAAGCCCTGGGAGTAATGAGATCATTGGAGGAGATGATGTCAGAAAAAGAGCTGAGCACGCCCACCCCCGTCCACCGAATCTAATTAAGGGCCTGGTCATCCGTTTTTATCTGTAAACTCCACAAATCAATAGACCATAAATCCCACACAAGTCACCACGCATCAGTAGTCCTAATAGTGTTCCTTGTAACTCAGGGAATCCAGAGATGCCCAATGAAAGGGACGATGGCGGCTGAGCAGGCAGAGCTCTCCGCCTGTGTCCCCTGCCCCAAGAGTAGTTCTGCTTTGATGTGTTCTTGTATATTATGGACAAAATTTTATATGCAGAAATAAAGGGTTCCACTTCTCATTAAAACAGGTGGGAGCCCTGGCTAAATGATGTCGAAGGTGCCTTTTAACACTGGCATTGAGCTCCAGGGCTGGAAGCCAGAACACAGGTCCTAGGCTGTCGCATAGGAAACAGAAGTGCAGTACCTTCCTGTTTAGGAGCTAGAACTCTGACCCTCTTGTTCTGTGGTTTTGAGCTCACAGTTGCCTCCGTTAACAGCTGGATACAGTACCCAATTGTTTGCAGCCAAAGTCCTGCAAGTCTGTTTCCTCTAAAAGCCTCTTCCGCAACCTCCCTCCCCCATCCTCCCAGGACTGAGGTGGACAAGAGGGGGAATGAATGTTTCGGTTCCCCTGGGGGGCTGTGTGTCTTCCTCTCACACCCTTGTCCAGAATTTCTTGTGTAGGGAATTTCTATTTTCCAAAGATGCTTACCAGAAACAATTTGGCAGAGAGAGCATAGTTTGGGGGCAGAGGCTCTAGTTAAATGATCACAAAAGCACATGTCCCTGTGGCGAATCTTACCTCATGTGAGGAAGGACGCAGAGTGAAACTGCAGTTCAAGCTGAATCCGGAGTGGAAATGAGGAACAACCCCAAACACTGCCACGTGCATCAGGGCGCTTAATCCCTGACAGAATTCCGGGGTGTCTGTATATACTTGTTAAAAGTTTGTGTCTGGTATTAGAATGTGTACTGAAGCAATGGAAAGCTGCCCATTTTTTGCTGACAGATTTCAGAACGTAAAGCTTGGCTCCTGGGGAATGAGCAGACAGCAGAGCTGTTCTCAGAGGACGGGCACGAGCCTCTTGAGGGTTTCGGGAGAGATTATTTTTGGTTTTAAACGGAGGGCCTTTGTTAAAAGTTGAAAAACATGGTCAGTCCAATCTTCTGAGGCTGTGAGAGAGAGAGTGACTTGCCAAGGTCACACAGACCATTAAACCAAGTTAACCCCAAACCCAGGTGGCTTCACTCTCTGCCCACAGAGCAGGCCCGATCCTGACTACCCCTCCAGATCCAAGGCTCCCCGGGTTCCTCCCTGCAGCCCACGTTCTGCAGCTCCAGCCACCTTCTCCTTGATCTGTTGGCCTGGCTCCGGGGGAGATGAGCTACAGCTGGTCTGCAATAGAAAGACGATACATTTATGCAGACTTTCAGAGTGACCTATTCACCTTACATTTTCCACTGAGATGAATGAAAATGTAGACAACAAGACGGACAACTCAAAGAGAACAAGGAAAACCCAGAACAGAGAAATGTGCGATTTGTTTTTGCTTTTAAAAAGAAGCATATCACAGAACTTCTTGGTTTGGTTTTGTGTTTTTTTACCTCTGTCATCTGTGACCCATTCGCCTGTGCAGCCAAGATATTTTGGCGTTTTTTTTCTCTGGGAAAGCAGTGGGTGGGTGCGTGTAGAGGAGCCAAGAGTTAACAAAATACCAGCAGATGCTGGAGCCGAGGGAGAGGGTTCTCCCAGCCTCCCAGGCAGAGGCGCACCCACCTCCCATCCTCCAGGCTCCCTAGAGAAAGACTAAAACTCTTCTACTACGTGAGAGGGCTTCCCAATCCTGAGAAAGGCAATCTCTAGGAGCACTTCCTGTCAGCAGGCTCTTAGGGCTTTGCCTTTCTGAGGATGCCCCCAGCCCTGTAGGAAGTAATAGCATTGTGTGTGAAGTCAAGCTACCTGGGTTGATTCCAGATCCATCATAGAATCCAAGTCAACCACTTCCCATCTGGGTGGCTTTGGATGAGTTCCTCAAACTTTCCAAGGCTGCGTTCTCATCTGTGATAGAGATAATAGTGCCTACCTCATCAGATTTGTTAGAATTAAATAAGATAACGTGTATAAAGGACCAGGCACAGTGCCAAACACCTGACAGATACTCAGTAAATTAAAAGGTTTTTGCAATGCCTCCCTTTTCCTGAGCAACTTCAATGCAGCTTTCTCTTTTCCCTGAGACGAGGAATAGTAGCTTTCTACTTTGATTCTGGTTGCCGTAGGAATAGCAGAGTGAATTCATTTTCCTTAAAATTGACAAAGAAAAAAATTTTACACTCAGTAAACTGCATCTTTTCAAATTCAGTGAGTTTGAAACATACAGAACATTTCTATCAGCCCCCAAAGATTCCTCTGGTCCCTTTGTGTCTGTCCCTTCTCCTTTGCCCTTCGCCCCAGGCAACCACTCATCTGTTGTCGCTATAAATTAATTTGCATTTTATATGAATAGAATCCTACAGTATGTACATTTTTATCTTTTTTTCACTCAACATACTGATGTTTAAATGCGTCCGTGTTGCATATGTTCTTTTTATCATTGAGTAGTAGTCCACTGTATGGATATACCAGCTTCTAATGGACATTTGAGTTGTTTTCAGTTTCTGGCTATTTTAAATAAGCTGATTTGAACATTGATTTGCATGTCTTTGTATGGCATATGTTTTCATTTCTCCCAGTTGAGTGGCTGGGCCATATGGTAGTTGTTTGTTAAACTTTTTAAGAAACTGCCAAAATGTTTTCCAAACTGACTATACTCTTTATTCCTTTTCTATTCCCACCAATAGTGTATGCAATTTTCAGTTGCTCCACATCCTCATCAACACTTAGTTCGTATAATCAATCTTTTCAGTTTTAGTCATTCTAATGGGTTTACAGGTAATAGTATTTCATTGTGGTTTTAACTTGTGTTTCCTTGATGTCTAATGATGCTGAACATCTATTCATGGCTTTTTGTATATCTTTTGTGTAGTCTCTGTTCAAATCTTTTGTGCATCTTAGAAAGTATATAGTTTATCTTCCTGTTATTGAATTGTAAGAGTTCTTTACAAGGTCTGGATACCATGTCTTTGTAAGATAGAAATATGTGAAATTTTTCTTTCAGTTTGTGAAAACATGTGAATTCTCCCAGTCTGACTTGTGTTTTTATTTTCTTAATGGGGCCATTTGAGGAGCAAACACTTTGAATTTCTATGAAGTCTACATTTCCTTTCTTTCTTTTTTATTGTTGTTAATCCTCACCTGAGGATATTTTTTTTCTTTGATTATTTTAGAGAAAGTGGAAGGGGGGGGAGAGAGAGAGAGAGAGAGAGAGAGAGAGAAAGAAACATCGATGTAAGAGACACATGATCGATTGCCTCCTGTACACAGCCTGACTGGTGGGGATCAAACCTGAACCCAGGTACATGCCCTTGACCGGGAATTGAACCTGAGACCTTTCAGTATGTGGGCCGACACTCTAACCATCAAGCCACCTACCAGAGCAAGTCTAATTTTTCTATTTTTCTTTTATGGTTTGTGCATTTTGTATACCTACCTCAGGGTTTCATATATTCTGTGAGCTTTTAATTTTACCTTTTATACTGAGATCTGTCATCCATTTCAAGTTAATTTTTGTATATGGTATAAAGTAAGGGTTAGTATGGAAATTATTTGAGTGTCTATTATATAAATAAATGTCCCAAGACATGTAATTATTGCCATTTTAATAACGAGGAAAACAGATCTCCGAAAGATTAAGCAACTTGCTCAAATCATCCAACCAAGATTCAAGCCCATGCTTTCCCAGTGCCAAAGCCCGTGTTCTCCCTACCATGTTATGCTGGCACTGTGTCTTCAACTTTGAACTGGAATCCACATAAGCAGTGTCCAGCTGTAACCTGTGAAGAGGATATAAAAATATGAGATGCTACTGCCATTCTGAGGGCATTCATGTATCAAACCCTGCCTTAGGGTATGAACCACATGGATGTTGAGAACCAGGGCAGGGGTTGCACGTCGGCCAGCTTGCTTAGGTCTGTATCTCAGAAGCTATAAATACAACTCTTACGGTGCTCTCTTGGCAAGAAGCCTAATTCTGAATTCTTTTCCATTTTACAGTTGGTCCATCAGGAATATGAAGTTAAGTGCCTGTCCATATAGACAATTAATCCTTAGAGCACCCGGCTGGATGGCTGAGTTCCACTGTGTTTGGTTTGAGTTTTTATTTTTGGAACACAAATAGTGAGTCAGCCTCCCTTCTCTCCCTCTCTCTTCCTTACTACCCCTTCTGGGTTCTCTTAGATGCTGTGGTCACACTAGGTAAATAGTCTTTTCCCTAAAACGTCCTTTGAACCATGACAAAGTAAGGGGAGAGAAGTCCCCTGCCCTCTGTTGCTCAGTGTGCCTCCCCCGCTTTAAAAGAAAGGTCTATTTAAGGCCATTCACTTTTGCCATTTTCGAAGTCTCTGAGTCTTACTTAGCCAGGACTATTTTATTTCTTTAAAAAAAAAAAATGAGGGAGGGAATGTGAAGATAACAGCTATACCTCTCTGTTCTTGCTTTTCAACAGTGTAGCGTTGGTAAATTCACTCCCTTCCTTTCCTTTTGTGAGGCAGTGTAGTGTTGGGGGAAGAGCATGAGGCTTTGGAGTAAGAAGTTTATAGGTTTGAATCCCAGATCCAATATTTACATAGCCAGCAAATCATTCAGTCTCCATGAGGTTCAACTTCCTTTTCCTTTTTGTAAAATGGGAATGACATGTACCTAAGGGTTTGTCATAGAATGTCTATACCGTGCCTGGCATATATATGTGCTTCTGTCATCTCTTCCTGTTACCTTTTGTTCTCTCTCTGAAGAGTAAGGACATGGGATACTCATAAAAAGTCTAAATAGGGGGAGTTTTGAGTTTTATAAATGGTGGTTTTTTTTTAGTTCAGAGCCCTATTTAAGGTACCCTTAAAAAAGAGAAATGCTGCGTTCTCTTTGGCCGAGCTGGGCAGTCTAATTCAAAGCCCCACCATGGAGGGTGAAACATCCGAGTCATTCTGCCTGTTGTTTTCCTTGCTGCTGCCAAGTATATTGTCTTCGGTCTCTGGAAGCAAACTCTACTCTGATGTGATTATTTGCTAGTGAGAAGCTTATCTTATGGGCAGAAGTGTGAATTGGGAAAGGGTTGGAGGAAAAAAGACAACCTATCTGTCTAACACAGAGAGGGCCAAGTATAGGTTGATAGAAGGAGAGGGAAACCAAGTTTTCATATTTGAGAAGGTTATACCTCCATCTTCTGCAGTACAGCCCTGAAAAACTCCGATCTCTGTCCAGGTGGGATGAGGACACATCAGTGTCTCTTAGTGCCTTCTGGTTGCCATGCCTCACAATTGACCTTATTTTCCTCTTTGCACAAGAGCCTCCTTTGCATTTCAGCTGGGTAGGGGGCTGCCCTCTGCTTCCCCTTTGGCCACTAAGGATTCTGTGGTCTCCCCAGTCACCATGTTCAAACCTGTATACCCTTTGAGATACAGTTCAGGGCTTAGCTCTTCCAAGACGCCTGCCTTGACTACTCTGCCCAGTTTGATGGTTCCTTGGCCATCCTAAATCATTTAAGTAGCCTTGAGAATCTAAATCTGTGAATATTTAATGAGTACACACTGTGTGTTGGAGAAAGGGGATTGGTTACAGAGACAGATGAGAGGTAGGACCAGTGCCTAGCATTTAGACTTGACTATTTCTTGCTCCACTTTCCTCTCCTCAACCAGGTTCCTAGACCTCTTCAGGATTGCCTCAGCAGTCTAGTGATTACTCACACTAACCTGCATCTCTGCTAGTACATAAATGTTCAAATTTTGTTTCGGTTTCCCAGGCTTCATACTGTCTCTACAATTTTGGATGCAGTTTATTTTACTTAACATTACAAATTTAAAAATGCTTATTATAAACTTTGAGGATAATTTAATGTCTGCAAATATAACTCACTCACTGAAACACTTTATACTGCCAGAACATTGGAGCCTTAGTTTTCCTAAATAAGGAAATGGGCTTCCATGAATCATTAAAACTCCTGCGTCAGGCTTGTTTTATGCAGGTTACCACTTAGGCCTAAAATTCTGTTTTCCCCTCTCCAACTGTATACAGACTATTTTGACTCTCCAACAAAAAAGATGAGAAATTTAGTCTTGTTTATCTTAAGGTATATGTTATATGGCTGAAGAACATTTACATTCAGATCTGTAAAATCAGTCTTAAGTTTTACCTATGGATTAATTCTAAGAATAAATAACTACTAATTGTTCTTTGCAGTGTTACAGTTGTATAAATGTGCATAGCAGAGTTGGTGAAGAAAATAAAGATCTATGATACTAAGCCTGTGACATTTAAGAAGAATATTTTAAGCATCAGGATCAAATAGGAAATTCTGTTTCTATATTCTATCATTTGCCACATTTTCTTTGCTTCATATTTATACCTTGTCTTTGCTTTTTGTTTTCCTTGGAGTTTGTAATTGCCTTTTTTTCCTGATTAAGGAAAGAAGCATCTGCTTTTACCTTATGACTGACTTCATTTAGCTTCTTAGCCATAATGTTCATTGTAGGGAAATGACTTTCATCATGACACATTCTTCTCTTAAGTCCACAGAGTTCCTGCTCTAATTTATAGTCCTGCTACCCTTTCATTGAATTCCTGAGTTAAACCTCCTTTCTTGTACCCCATGTTGTCCTCTTTCTTAAAATCCTTTTTAATTTTGCTGTAAAGCATACTTGGTAATTTTTTTTAAAAGAACGCATGGAGCCGAACCTGTTTGGCTCAGTGGATAGAGCATCGGCCTGCGGCTCTCCCTTCTTCTCTGTAAAAAATCAATAAAAATATATTTTTTTAAAAAAAGAACGCATGGAAGTAAACTAGGTCCTTGCAGATCTAAAAGGTTTATTTAGCCCAGCTGTTTTTTAGACAGTCCTTCAATTAATCACCTTGATTTCTGCTCCTCTTCCTGACCTTGCTCTACTTATTCTCTAATTCTATACTGTCAATCACAGTAGCCACTAGCCACAGGTGAGCTGTCAAGTGCTTGAAATCTCTCTCATCTGAATTTCGATATGCAGTAAATGTGAAATACACACCAGATTTTCAAAAAGAAAAACAGTATTTTTATATTGATTTTATGTTGAAATGATAATATTTTGGATATATTATTAAAATTAATTTCACCTGTTTCTTTTTACTTTTTAAATGTAAACAGAAACTTTTAAATTATATATGTGACTCACATTACATTTCTATTGGACAGTCTTTTCTCATCCCCAACATGGCCCCTTCCGGGCCTTCTCAAGGAGCAGCATTAGCTCCTGCCTGCAGCCAGTCCCGGGTTCTTTCACCTGGCTCCCTTCATTGGGTTGTCTGTAGATGCATCTATGTTGTCATACAACTACATTGGGAAGTAGGGTGGAGGGTGTACACTGACCAGTATAATCTCATCTACTTCCTATCTTTTGAAAAGTGTTTAAATTTCTGGTCTGTTCCTTTTTCCCTTTTTTCCTCTCTCCCCACCCTAACCACAGGTATTAAATTAGTCTTCTTTGTTCTGCTTTGTCACATCTTTAGGATTTAGGAGGGAGGAGAAGTAAAGATATTTTTATTCTGTCAATTGGGAAACAGAAGAATTGACTGATTTTTATCACTATTTTGAACAACAGTACAGTGGTCATCTTTATGCATAAGTCTGTCTGTATCTCTAGATATTTTCTTAAGATAGTTTCTGGTTCAGATTATATGACTTTCTTTATGGCTCTTGATATACATATCGACAAGTGTATTCCAAAAAAAGATACCAATTTATGTTCTCTGTGGGTTGTTCGATAAAAGATGGGAGCAGTTATCCGAAAGGTGCCAGATTCCATCTGAATCCTCTTATGTGGGCCTTTTATCTCAGCTTCCATGGAAAGCGTGTCCTCTTTTCTGAATCACTTAACTTTTATGAGCCTTCATTTTCTTATTTGTAAAGTAGCAATAATCATGTCTTAAAGTAATGTGCATAATAACTCGCTGAAGGCAATATTTCCATTAATTCATTTTGGCAAGTGTTTGAGAGTCTCCTACTTATACTGAGTACATGTGCTACAGAAGGAACTATGGGGGGTGTCCAAATGATATAGACTGTGGCCTCAAAACAGATTTCTAATGAAGAGACTAGAGCGGGAAATAAGACACACTCATAAGAAACTGTCTCTTTGTGACTTGTAATGAGGTAGATCCGTGACATTAAAGGGGTTTAGATGGAAAAGGGTTTGCACTCCACTTAAAAGATAAAAGAAGACAGCCTAGAAGAGGTGGCATTTAAGGTAGGCCTTGAAGGAGGAGTATAATTTCAACGTAGTTGGGAAGTAGGATGGAGGGTGTATGAGGTGTGAGAAAGGCACAGGAGTGAGTTCGAGACAGAAAGTTGATAATGTTCACTAAGGTATTGGCAAAAGGTAAGGAAAACAAACATTTTTGTTTCTCTGAGTATACTTATTTTCATGTGCCAAACAATAAGGTACTTTCTGTATTTATTTCTGCTGTGCTTCAATAGGGAAGGCGGGGAGAAATCATCTTACTCAGTTTGGGCTCTGGCCAGAACTGAGTAGGCGAAGTTTGTCCATAGGGACAAGAACATAATATATTTACACTGGCCCTTCTCTCCCACAGAGGTCGGAAATTCTGAGGCATTTTTAAATAGTTCTGAGCCTGTGACACATTACACTCATCCCACCAAATGATAACTTGCATCAGAAATATTGAGATGTGGCCAGAGAAAGAAGATTCCCGAAGAGAAGAATAACTTAGACAAAGGATGGGCTGCCAATAGAGAGAGGAAAGGGAGGGGATTAGACCTTTGGTGTCATGAAAAGGTGAGGAATTTTGTGAAACAAGATAAGGATTGTGCTTTTGATCCATCTTTCTGGCCTTTCCTTCTGGGAGTTCACTACCCTCTGTTCTCTGACAATCTAGAACCATTCTGGTCACCCACCTCCCTCCCTCCCAAGTACTATACCCAAAATTTTTTCATCCTCAGCAACATTCAGGATTCTCTTTTTTGTTGCCTATAAAATGGAGCCAAATTCCTATGCCTGGCTCTCAGGGCACTCCCAGTCCCTCTGGAAGCTGTGATATATATATCCCATATTCAAAGGCTATTAAATCGTGTTGTTTACCCATATCTTCAGAAAAAAATCACTTCTACTGTCGTGGTAAATAACCTGCTTCCCTATTTATAATGGTCTGGCCCTCTAGCAACTTCAGTGCAAAATTATAGCTAATTTGCCCACAAACTTCAGCTGGTCATAATAATCTGGCCACTCAGTGTATATTTAACACCTTACTTTACATTGTACCACAGTCCCTAACCTTGAGTCTGTGGCTTAATGTCTCTCATACACTTCTTCTAACACCAGCATCTTGTTCATTTATTTTATTTACTTAAACATTTATTGAATGCCTGTTATATGTCATTTCTTCAGTGAACTTTTATTAAGCAACTGCTATGTTCTAGGCCTTATTTTAGAGCCTGTGAATAGAGTCATAGGAAAGGGGATAATGTTGGTAAACTAGAGGCCCAGTGCACGAAAATTCTTGCACTCGGTGGTGGTTGGGGGGGGGGGGCCTCAGCCCGGCCTGGCCCTCTTGCAGTCCAGAACTCCTCAGGGGATGTCCACCTGCTGGCTTAGGCCTGCTCCCTGAGAGATCGGGCCTAAGCTGGCAGTCAGACATCCCTCTGGCAGCCTGGGAGCCTTCAGGGGATGTCCACCTGCCAGTTTAGGGCCTAAGCCAGCAGTCAGACATCCTTAGCACTGCCAAGGAGGCAGGAGAGACTCCCGCCACCTTCCACTGTGCTTGCACCTGTCAGCCCAGCTTGTGGCTGAGTGGAGCTCCCCCTGTGGGAGCACACTGACCGCCAGGGGGCAACTCCTGCGTTGAGTGTCATAGCGACCAGTAGTTTTGCCATTAGGGTCAATTTACATATTGCCCTTTTATTATATAGGATGGGAAAAGATCATGAGATATATTTGGAGAAATCATAGAGCACACTGTACTAAATTAGGTGTGACAGGAGGTGCCCATGTAGTCCCCTCAAGTAATCATTGCCTTTTGTATATGCTTGGCTAGATAACACTGGGATCAAGACTCAGGTATTGTTTAGGTTCGATTCAAACACATTGCCAGACGGAGATGATGGATGCAGCAACCATCATGGTCCTGAACTAGAGCCACCAGCTCCACGATGCGGATGGTTTCTTAAAAAGATATGACTTACTGCCTGTTCCAATTCATCTTGTCAAAATGGTCAACAGTTTCATTCTGGTTATACCTATCAGCACGATTGGACTCTGTCGGCTGGGGTCCTTTTCTTTAAATGGTGACTCCCAAAGAGCAAGACACTCAGAATCTGCCACTCGCTTACCTACCGTATTGGCTCAGTTCCCACTCCCTAAATGAGCCTGCCCTTTGCTGCCTCGGTGCCTCTCATTACTCATCAGTGTGGTGGGAACAGAGATGATCTGGAGCTAGATCTGGGTTCGAGACCTAGATTCACCTCTTGTCTGTATCCTTGGACAAATTTCCTAGGCTGGCTAAAGGTTTTTGAGAATAATAATACCTGCCCTTCCCAGTGTGGTTTGTTATAAGGTGTAGATGAGAATTTGTGCTAAAGTACTTAGCACGGTAGCTGTCAGATGGTAAGTACTCTTTTCTGTCTACCTCTCCTGGGGGGTTTCCTTTTAATCCTCCCCCTTCTCTATTTGTTAAAATCTGTCCATCCTTATTTAGCTTCTATGTCATCGACAGTGAAGCTTTTCCAGGATTCCCAGATGCGAGAGATTTCTGTTTTCCCTGTTGCAAATGCTCTATTTGTGGGATTTTAGACTTTTGAAGAAAACGGTCTAAGTAGCAGGGGGACTGGCACAGGAAAGTATAGAAATCTGAACAAAATAGCACTATATTTGGAAGCAAGAACATCAGGGTCAATGAGAAACCGTATGCAAATGGTATAAGTAAGGGTGTTTTGCTATTCAATGTAAGATGTTTGATTCTCAGCCTATCTCATTCCAGTAGGCCAAATATGAAGGTTGACTAGTTCCTGGTATTAACTATAAAAAGGGGGCCACTCACTCCTCTGTATTCAGTGAGAGCCAGGTATCCAATCTTCCAGATAGTCCTGTACTTTTAGAATTTGATGTTATGTTTTGATCAGAATTGGGCATTCAGTCTATAGATTTTTCTAGGAAGACCTTGCTTGGTTAGCAGAATAGGATGCATCCAGAATGACATCAGTCTGGCAAGCTTTAAAGGAAACAACCCAAGATAGCCAACACAACTGCTGTTTCTTTTATTTACCATTTTATACCTGGTACCATCAGGAAGTTACATTTAAAAACAATTTTCACTTAAAAAAAATCCCATAGTCAAAAAAAGCACTGATTCGCTGTGAAGCCGGAAAGATTCATTCATGGGAGCTGATTGTTCATATTTGTAGAATTTAGAATTTTTAGATGGAAGGGGCCTTAAAGTTGAATAGGGTCTTCAAAAGGAAACAAAAGGCTCTTCCTTTCTGCATGAACAGAGTTCATTCACAAGACAGTGTTTCTTGATCTACGAGGAGTGATTTCAGACAATTAGCTAATTGGTTGAGGGAGGTGACCTATCAGCTTTGCAGAAAGGATGTGTGCTCTTAGGGATACACATAAAGAATATATCTTAAGCTTTCCCTGACAGCCAAAAGGAGCCCCATTAATCCTCCTATGTAATGGCCAGTCATAACCACAGAGAAGGAGTATATTTCACTGGAGAGTAAAGCTATGCAAACCCCAGCAGCTGCCAACAGCCGGTCACTGTCACCATTAGCTCAGTGTTGTTTTAGGCTTTGAAATATTTCTGAATGATCTTCCAATTTGCTCTATTTTAAGGGGATAAGTGACCCTCCAGAAACAGTCTACTGCTTATTTTTAAGTGTTATCAGCTGCTTAGTTCATTGAAATGATACTTGTCTTATTGTATAGAAAACAAGAGCATAACTCATTTGTAGCCATCTTGAAAGTCCAAATGGATGCACACAAAAAGGGGTGGGGTGTTTCTGTAGGCAAATGTTAACTTTTCTCTGGATTTCAAATGTGAAATAAATTTAAAATGAAAGAAAAGGGTCATAGACTTGTCAAGAAGTGAATCAGGGAAAGGTAACTGATACATCAATATGTTGAATCTCTTTGCCCCTAGACTGAGAGCCAGTGAAATTGGTGTCATTGTTTTTTTGAACATATTATTAAGATGTACTCAAACTATAAAGTTTTATGATGAAAATGGCTGTGATCATCATCGGATGTCTAGTTCCTACAGCCAAAATAACCACAGGACTGGTCATTAAGAGACAAGTTTTCATAGCACTGAGTGCACCCTTATTAGGATAGTGGTTAAGAGGGCATTGGACATGGCTTGAATTGTTTCTATTACCTACCTACTTTATAACCGTGGCTAAGCACATGCTAAGTATCTATATCAGGAATATTTTCATTTATTAAACTGACTGACACTGGTTTAAATACATTACATTACATTACAAGAAGTCTAGGATAAGCACTTGCTGCCTTTGGTTTAGAGACTCAGTGTTACAATCAAGGATGCTTAATCTTTATGTCTTCCCATTCAGCCATCCATCACATACTGGTTTTCAACCTCAGGGTAAAAGGAAATCAAATGCTTTCCCAAGAGTCCCCAGCAGATTTCTGGTTATGTCTTATTGTCCAGAACTGTGAAACACAGTTGAATACTTCCAGTTTGAAGGAAGACTAGGGAAGTAAATGTTATGATTTTCTAGACTCTATAATGAGGCAGATTGGCACAACATTCAGTTAATGATGATGATGGTGACAAAGCACCTTGTGCTCTCCTGAAAATTCAAGTGATTGATAGTTTACATTTTATACTTTATGAGGTACTTTTACTAACATGCATAAGGAGTTTGTTGGTAGTTATTGTTGTTGTTGCATGTTTAGAAGTTCTTTGATGATTGATCCAACAAAGAAAAGCCAACTAGGAAGGAGAGCATAGTTTAAGCCTTCACATATTTTTTTTGGCCCAACTCGGGTCTATTGCTTACAAAACCTTCCTAGACCACCCAGAACCAAAGCTCACTGCTCTAAACTAATATCACTTATGACATAATATTTATTTGCTACTTTATGCTTTAAAAATACTCATGGCTTCTTAGCTAGGTTTGGAGCTCCTTAATCTCAGTCTCCATAGAAATGCCCTCTGGAATGTAGAGAGCTCAGTGTTATTCATTTATTAACAGAACATTTTCTGTTTCTCATTATTAGCTGAATTTGAGGTAGTTTAGGGATGGGGAGTGATTACAATGATGCTTTTTTTTATGGGGAAAGAATTTTGTTTTATTTTGCTTAAAGCTTCATCTTTTTTCAAACTTTCCCCTTATGGCTCTTTTCCTCCTAAGAGAGTAGGATGTCAAGGGGTGAAGTATATCATTCCTTTTTTATTACTCCCCAGCCTCTTCGTAAATAAGCTTAACTCGGACTTAGCTGTGAGGAATTCAGCCGTCATTTGTATAGAGCAAAAACGCCTGCCCCCTCACTGACATCTATTAAGACTTCACTCAAGAGGAAACCCTTGCATTGTAGCATCATTGGTGCCTTTTGGACACTCTGCCACTCTTCTTATGTCTTTTTGGAGGATTGACTTAAGAGGCCAATAGTATTGGGTAAGGACATCAAACCCATTGACTGATATCTACAATGAGGTGTAAACAAGTATCTGATATTTTGCTGAGACCAAATGCTAAGAATCTGTAGGGATTTTTGGAACTTGAAGATATTAGATGACCATTTACCAAGGAGTCTTTAGTTGCAAAGCCAGTTGGAGAATCCTATTTCCCAGTCCAAGGTTCTTTCAACATCATTCTCTGCTAATGTTAGAGTCTTCAGAAGTCCATTGTAGAATGTAGATGTCAGAGTAATCACAGTCAGATTTCTGAGCGGTTGAATCCAGTAGGTCTCTTTTCTTTACTATGACTCTGCGACTTTAGAAATAGAGATGAGAGTAGTTTTGCTAGCATATTTTAGTATAATTTATATCCCTTTTAAAGTGACTAACCCAGTTTGTTTGTTTTGTTTCTCACTGCACAAGACCCAAGAATTTCCTAACATCGTGTTTCTCATACCCTTTGGCCATTTAGTTTTCCCACACTTTTAATTCCAGTTTTCACTGTTTGATGATGGTTGTTCTTTAGATATAGCAAATGTGGTACCTGTATTTCCAAGTTCTAAAATAGACTTTATGTGTAGACATTTGTAGACAAAACAAAACACAAAATCTTAATGATTAACTACTTACATTATAAAGCAGTTCACCATGGCTTGGGAGATCTGGAGGCCAGTTAATTATCTCCCCTTCCTTCTGATCTAAACAGTAGGAAGAAGAGGCAAATGGAGGTGAAGGTATCAACTCTACTCATGGCTGCCCAGTGGTTCCTAAAGTACAGTCTAGAGATGTAAGTCTAGGAGTGCTCCATGCACTGAGTGAAATCTAAACCCCTCAGGACTATATACAATAAGAAGAGAGGAAGCTAAGGATGAAATCCTGAGGATTGTAGTTCTTAAAAGGATCCTCATGAAGACTGACAAGGAGCACAGAGTTGCAGGAAGTTATGGTGTCAGAAAATCCAAAGGATTTGGGAGCAGCATTTAGGAAAAGAAGGAGTGCCCGCCTGCCTCAAATGCTGCCAAGAAATCAGTGAAGGTGTGAGCCGCAACCACAAATGCATCCATGGGATTTTACAACAAAAGAAGTCTTAAAAAAAAAAAAACACCCACAAAACTTGCTGTTCTCCCATCCCAACCTCCCTAGAGTCTAATCACATAGGACCATCTACGTTTTGTTTTCCAGTGTACCTTCACATCTGGCTCCCATTGGGTATAAAAATATGACACTGAAAGATCTTTGGCCTCAAATTGTTCATTCTAAACCTTGAGGCACAACTTATGGTGTGTGTCTGTGTGTCTGAAGGATGATTGGTGATAAGATTTTTCCTTTGTAATCAGGGCCCAAAATTTCTGAGTGTGAGGACTGTAAACTGTGGACTAGGAGGAGGTACTGATGGGGCAGCAGGGGGATGAGTCCTTCAGAAGGTCCCAGGGTCCCAGGCAGCCCAGCACTGCCTCCTCCTGTTATTTGTAGGATAGGTCTCTGCTATGTGGGGGCTCTTGATCAGTGGTTGTTCTTTGCCAGAGGAGGAGGAATGCTGATATTGGGGACGGTTAAATGTTGGCAAAATTAGGCTTCTGGAAGTATAAGAGAAGGGAAAGGAGAAGGCTCTGAAAACAAACTCCCGTGTTCTTCAAATTTCTGCTCAGGCCCTAGGACAGCCGTGGGCAAACTACGGCCTGTTTGAAATAAATAACACTAAAAAAAAAAAAGACCGTACCCTTTTATGTAATGATGTTTACTTTGAATTTATATTAGTTCACACAAACACTCCATCCATGCTTTTGTTCCGGCCCTCCGGTCCAGTTTAAGAACCCATTGTGGCCCTCGAGTCAAAAAGTTTGCCCACCCCTGCCCTAGGATGTGAAGGGAATAGCGTGGGCTGGCTTCTGCCTCTAAGCACCTACAGAAAGATGCTTTCCTAAAATCAAACAAATAACGCCATCTAATAGATATCTTTTGGTCTCCTAATGTTGCATTTTAATTTCCCTGCTGTTCAAGCCAAGCTTTGATTTGTCACTCCAAATGCTTTCAAGTGCAAATAAATTTCCTGTATTTCATTGCCACCTCTATGCAGGTTTCCTAACCCTTTAAATCTTCCTAACTATTTAATCGTGAGGTTTATTACATGATAATCAGAATTCACTTAAATATAGGATATAATTTGTACCCCCTACCCACTTCTCCCATCATTTGAAGCAAGCCATGTGTATAAGACACGAGACTCATACCTTCTGTGCTATAATGACTTGCGCAAATAGAAGGCCTAGAACACAGTGAGGACTTGATTGAGGTTAAATTGAAATTTAAATCACACCAGGTGCCTGATGAGCTAGCTTTTTCTGGGGAATAAAGCCAATGCTGAATTGAGCGCATTGGGTTGGTGGGTGGGGAGGGTTGGAAGCCCAGTAGCCGGCTTCCTCAGACAGTTCTTGAAGAACTAGGGGCCTCCCCACCAGCTTCCAATAGCCTGAGTATTTTTAGTCCTCGCTTTTCATGTAAGTTTCCCGTTAACTGCTTGCAGGAAATCTTTTCTTGGACATAATCTGCCCATTTCCTGAAGTCTTCCTCTCCGCATTGTGTCAGTTAGGGGATGAATCAAGTCAGCAGATTTAGAGAGTGTGTGTTCTCTTCCCTGCATGGCTCCCCCTTTGTGGAATACCAGAAAGCTGCCTTTCTTGTCTGTTTCTAGGGGTGAAGGGAGGAGGGGCAAGTCCTTGGTGTGTGTCAGCCTCTTAGGCAGCCTGGCACAAATGTCCTTTTGTATGTGGAGGGGGCATGTGTGTGTTTTGCCCCTTCCCAGTGGACACTTCCATTTATTAGGGCCGGATGGTGTCCTCTGAGCTGTAAACAATGGTGTAGAAGATAAAGAGCCGCCTCAGTGAGGAAGCTGTGGTGGCAGCAACTGGGTCCCCTTCTCTGCCTCTGCTCCCCTCCACCTCGTCCCGTCCGTTGTGCCTGTGGGCTGGTGTGAGCCAGCTGGGACCTCGGTCATTCCTTCCGAGGGCCGAGCAGCTTGGGCACTGTTTCCTAACCTTGAAGACGTCAAACTTGGAGAGAGAGGCTTTCCATGATAAGGATAACAGTTTCTCACGTTTGCACAATGTTCGTTTTTAAACGTATCTTTCGAAGAACTGAAATTCTGGCTTTGAATGTAGGGTTTGTATCAAAAGATAGGACTTTGAGTGCTGGCCCTGCTCTTTAGTAACTGTGAGACCACAGGCAAGTTATGGAGCTAATGACAGTTTCTGCTTCATAGCGTGTTCCAAAGCTTAAGTGAGGAAAAATATATAAAGTGCCTGCCACATAAGAAGCACTCAAATATTTACCCAAATAAAAGGGGAGACAGAGAGGAGTATTAAGTGAGATAATTTAGATGAATATGCAATGCATGAGATGCTAAATGTTTTAGTTACTGTTTGGTGTGAGATCTGAGACTAAGCATATTCTCTCACCTCTGAAGCTGCGCTCTCACCTGGACTCTCGCCCTGACCACTCCTTCCTTGTCTCAGGTGTCCATCACTGTCAGCTCTTCTCTCACATGTTATTGTGGTTCTGCTGAGAGCAAACCACTGTCTTGAGGCCAGCTCCTAGACCAGGGCTTGGTGCAAAGTAGGGTTCAACAATGAAATGAATAGATACTCATTGTGAGAAACTCCAAAATGCACCCCCTTTCCCAGCCACAGAGGCCTGTCCCTAGTCACGCAAGCTTATTTCTTGATTTGTTGTTGTTAATCCTCACTAGAGGATATTGTTTTCATTGATTTTTAGAGAGAGTGAAAGGGAAGGAGGAAGAGAGAGAGAGAGAGAGAGAGAAGGAGACAGAGAAAGAGAGAGAGAGAGAGAGAGAGAGAGAGAGAAACGTTGATGTGAGAGAGACACATTCTGGGAATCAAACCCATGACTCTACAGTGCACTGGCTTGTGCTCTAACCATTTAGCAACCCAGGCCAGGGCACTTGTTTTTTTTATTTTTATACCCAGGTGTTAGAAATGGAAACCATTCCATAGGCTTTCAACAGAAAGGAATTTAATATAAGGAATAAGTTGCTTATCAAATGCATCTAGGAAGAACTAAAGCTAGATGTTCTCCACAAGTGACACTTCCCCCACTCTCAGGATACTGCTGCAATGATCAGTCCACACCCCACTCCACTCTGTAGCTGTGATATATAGTTAGTGATTGGGAGGTCAGACCTGAGAAGCTATTGCTGCCCCTGCCCCCTGGCACTCAGGAGGCTGGAAAATGCCTCAGCTGCATAAAAACCCTTTCATGGCTACACTCTTGTTTGTCAGAGAAACAAGAAATAGCCAAGAGAGCAGGAAAATGGTCTTTGCCTCACTTCTAACCTGCCAGTCTTGTATGAATGCAAATAATTGGCAGATTAACTGCAAGCAACTCCTGTAAAGGTGATTTTTTTTTTAAAGTTTTCTACTAGAGGGGAGTAGGTGGCATTTGAGTGAGCCACCCTGCAGTATATATCACACCAGCTTCATCTAGAAAGTACTTCAGGTTGCAATATGACAGGATAAAAACTGGGTGAGGAAGTACCAAGAGGTTCCTCTGCATCCAGTTGTTACCTTCCAAGTGCAGAATCACTTGGATCACATGTCTCTATGGGAATCTTCCATATCTCCACATGGCCTTGAAAGGGTCAGTCCCCATGGGATGTACTAACAAGTGTTTGAAGGAATGCCCTCTTGTCTATGTCAGGTACTGTGCTAAGCAGAGGAAACACAAAGTCAGAAAAGAAAGACAAGGCCCTGCCTTCAAGGAGTTCTCAGTAGTCTAATAGAGGGATACGGAGATGAAAGCAGTTACAAAATGATATTATAAATGCTAAAATAGAGTTAGCCTCAGGAGCCCAGAAGAGGAGATGAAATGACGATAAACATGAAAAGGCTGTCTGTATTCATGTGAAGTTATGAGCCTAGCCTTATAAACTGAAGGAGATTATATATTTCTCCTGTTCACCCAACCTGAACACAAGACCCCAAAATCTTTTTTTTCCTTAACATTTTAATGAAAAATTTCAAATATACAGCAAAATTGAAAGAATTTTACAGTCTATATCCATATATCCACCATCTAGATTTTGCCATTAGTAGTTTATGATAGTTGCTGTATCACGTGTCTATCTATCCATTCCATTGTCCATCCATTATCCATCTTATTTTTTAAAGCATTTCAAGTAAATTGCAGACATCAGTATATTTCTCCCTAAATACTTCAGCATGCACATCATGAACTCATTAACTAGAGTCCAGTATTTGTTTAGTATTTTTCTTTTAGGTAAAATGTACATGGAATGAAACACCCAGATCTTAAGTGACCTTTCTTTGAGATACCTTTGTAACTCAAGCATCTGTAAGCATAAATTAATTACCAGCATCTCACAAAGTTTCCTCATGCTCTTCCTAGATAGTTCCCACCCCCACCTCGCAACCACCATTCTGGTTTTTCCCCACCAAAGATTATTTTCGTCTGTTTTAGAATTTCATACAAGTGAAACTGGTAGTATTTGCTCTTTTGTGTAAGGTTTCTTTCATCTAGCGTTATACCTTTTTTAAAAAATATATATATTTTTATTGATTTCAGAGTGGAAGGGAGAGGGAGCGAGAGATAGAAACATCAATGATGAGAGAGAATCATTGATTGGTTGCCTCCTGCACACCCCCTACTGGGAATCGAGCCTCTATATCCATATATCCACCATCTAGATTTTGCCATTAGTAGTTTATGATAGTTGCTGTATCACGTGTCTATCTATCCATTCCATTGTCCATCCATTATCCATCTTATTTTTTAAAGCATTTCAAGTAAATTGCAGACATCAGTATATTTCTCCCTAAATACTTCAGCATGCACATCATGAACTCATTAACTAGAGTCCAGTATTTGTTTAGTATTTTTCTTTTAGGTAAAATGTACATGGAATGAAACACCCAGATCTTAAGTGAGCTTTCTTTGAGATACCTTTGTAACTCAAGCATCTGTAAGCATAAATTAATTACCAGCATCTCACAAAGTTTCCTCATGCTCTTCCTAGATAGTTCCCACCCCCACCCTCAAGAAGCAACCACCATTCTGGTTTTTCCCCACCAAAGATTATTTTCGTCTGTTTTAGAATTTCATACAAGTGAAACTGGTAGTATTTGCTCTTTTGTGTAAGGTTTCTTTCATCTAGCGTTATACCTTTTTTAAAAAATATATATATTTTTATTGATTTCAGAG